AAAAAAAAAAATAAACAATGGAAAATTATATTTGTCTTGCCGAATTCTAACTTACCCGTTAGCTGGATCAACGACAATACCACAAGGTGATTTGAATCGATTATTAGCATGACCACTTTCTTCACTACCTAATTTTTGTATAACATGTTTTTTTTCTAAATCATACAATGAAATTGAATGTGCTTTTGTTATATAAATTTGTTGTTGATAATGTGGTCGTGGTGTAACACATTCCGGTGTTGCCATATCGCCACGAAATATGTCTAATAAACGTCCATCTGTATTTGAATCAAACATAAGTAAACGATTATTATAATGATCGCAAGCTATAATTTCTTCAGCTTCAGTATTTAAAACACATATACCATGTGTATGTGCCATTGACATTATTGGATGATTATTCAATTGAAATTTTTTTATTTTTAAATATGGTTTCGTTTCATAACTTGTTATTGATGGTAAATAAGAAAGTCCACTAGGTGTAAAAGATTTTTTATAGTGATCTTCATCATCATTGCTATTTTCTGGAACTGAATCTATGATTGGTGTCCATCCAGATGGTAAACCAGGTAAGCATCCAGGAATTAATGAAGGTCGGCGTTTAGTCAAGTCGGACTCCATGGCTTTGCTTTTTTTATATATATATATTTCTTACAGATGTATAATATAAGAGACAACTATTTATTTCATCGTATTTCTTTTATCTTTCCCTCGTACTCTATCCGTCTGTATTATGTCGATTGGTCTCGCCAATGGCGGGCGAAAGAACTTGTGATGTTAATATTAGAAGCAAAGCAAAAAAGATCTATCAACATAACTTGTGACAAGAAGCCCTATGTCAAAAATGATATGAAAGAACAAAATACACTGACAATAAAAGACAACTGATATTATTGTACCAAACTTATAGAGTAATTATTGAATAAATAAAGAGAAAGACAATCAAAAAGAGAATTAGACTTATTTGTTGTTGTTTTTTTGTTTAATAACATTTATAATTTATTTGATATCATCAATCACTTTTTCTTTTATCTTTTTATTATTCATATTCGAAAGATAAAATCAATATTTTTTCTTCAAATAACTTGTCATCACTTGAGATTGTTATGATATATTATGTCAGACAAATAAAACTTAGTTTATTTTCTATCAGTCTAGTATAGTATGCCGATAAGCTAATCAGTATTTATTTCGATGACAATTAGTGGTAGGCTGTTATGGAGGAGGAATAAAATGATTAATAAAACGAGTGACGAAAACAACTGATTCTACCTTTCGTTACGGCATATATATTTAGTAACAATTTATTATAGTTTTATTTTTGCACTCATCTTTTTTTGTTGCTTTTTTCCTATTAAGGAAAATTGTATTCGTATTATTTAATATAAATATATAGACATATGCAGCAAGAGATCATATTCGTCAACATGTCCAATATATTGTCCTACAGAAATTTGAAAAACATGTTACATGTCATCGCCTAATGATATATTGATTGCAGATAATCTGCACAATAGTGATATTACAAATTAATGAATTAGATTACATATTCACGCAATGATAGAACGACTAAAAAATCTAATCGATTACATTAGAAAACAGCTGTAATAGAAAATCTATATCATTCAAGAAACAGGAATATTTCTATCGGTTAATTTTGAGCATAAAAAATACAAAACAAAAAATTCTTTTGAAGATCATTAGGAAACACAACAATCAGATGATTTTTACATTTTAATATTTTCAACTGATTGAAGTTTAGAGATCTAATTGTTAAGTTTTATATACATATATATCACAGAAGTATTTTAGAATATAGCAGATGGATTTCGAGGATAATAACTTATATAGGACCATTTTCAGTGAGAATTAAAGTTCATTTCGTGGTCATGTATGCATTGTAGACTTTAATACTTTAGCAAAGACAAAGAATGCACTTATTACTATTTTAGTTCTTTGCTAAAGCTAAAAAAATGAATGGCAAGAACTTTTCTAGGTTGCGAAAAAAAAAAGCATACAAAGATCAGTTTCATGTATACTTAATAGTAAATAAAGCAAATGAAAAATATTTCATTTCTCTTTTATTCTTATCTAAAATATAAATCTTTTGACAAAAAAAAAATTTATATTCTATGATTCAATAAGAATTATGTAAACTGAATCTAAATACATTGAAAAAGTAATCAAAAAAAACCTTATTACTAATAAAATTAGAAAACAACATAAATTACGCTTATCAAATAATTAAAAACGAAATTTTTATTGTTGACATAATGTAACAACAAATATTATTGTTCATTATTTTATTTATCGTGTATAAATAAAATTCTGTAATAATTTTTTTCATAAGTAAAAAACATATTATATCAATGTTGACATAAGTTTCATGTTATTAGTGTCACTATGTATGCAAAATGTCATTAAGAAAATCAATGCATCAATTATATCCAGCTATTATTGACGAGAGGTTATTCACGACTTAGCATATATATGGTTGATTAGACGACCATGAATAGCAAAATATGCTAACTGTCAACGAAGTATGATTTCATTATGATTCAATTCAATGTGTTAAAGATATGCATGATATTAGAACTGATGAATTATCAGAAAAATAAGGCAAAAATTCAATGAAATAATTGACATTCTATGAATGTATTAGTCTCAACAGAAGCGAGCATTCATGATAAAATTCAGTGATATCTTATCGAAAATTATTCTTCATCAATACAATGCACCTGATCATATTGTTAACGAAATCATTACTGGTATGAAAGTATCTAATATTCAAGTTATTGCACATGAAAATTGTTTGTCTAGACTTCTCGCAGCTGTTCCCAATGGACTATTCGATTTTGACAATTAGATAGAGTACGTAGGAAAACACAAAGTATGACATCAAATAGCTGAGAAAATAATATCTTATAACAGTAGATAGTAATCGAAAACACTTTGAGCAAGTCATTATAGATTAACTTAATATTTTCATCGATCACACATTGAATATCTATGCTAATAAAAAGATTAAAAAGTTTTGTATTTAGTTTTTTTTCCTAATAAATAAAATTATCTTCGTCCAGTCAATATTTCAACTACAGAATGAGTCTCTTAAAGGAAAGAGAACTAAATATAGAAGCTTTTTAGATAAACATCAATTTATATCTAATTGCTAAAAATAACGTTAACTATTTAATCATTGAATTATTCAATCTAAATTCTTTTCTTTTTCTTTAAGGTGAAAATTGAATAAAGATTTTAATATAACACATTAAAAAAAAA